TTAGAGGTAGAAATCAGAGAAAGAAATTGTGCTTTTTTATAGAGAGTACTTGAGATTTTAAAATGCTCTGTAAGTTTAAAGAAATGGGTTTGGGAAGTTAAAATGGTCAGTGTTTTGAGAGCTAGGGGTTAGGTGTAGCCAGCACACCCATGAGGTTCCTGCAGAATGAATCTGTGTATGTGCACTGCAGATGGAGGACAGACTTGTGCCTGTGCAACCAACCAGAATTCAAAACAAGAGGAGCTTTTAAGTGGAATCTCAGAGAGTTTAATTCTGTGTGTTACAGTTATATTTTTTTTTTAATCTCATTTGCAAAGCAGCTCAAATACTATGGTATTTGAATTTTAAAGCTATAAATTATGTTAAAGGCTTTTTTATGAATCTACTTTGCATAACTACTTGCTTGTCCCTTCATCTTGTAAAGAAACTAGAGAGGATGTTTTTTAAGTCTATGATTACTTAAAGCTAAGGGAGAAAATTTCTGAAGGAGAGCAAAGAGCTGTCCATGGAGCTGGCCACATTCCCACCAACAGCAGCCTAGGGCAAAACCACAGCTCTGCCTGACTGTCCACAATTTCTCAGAGAGATGGATTTTTACTTTTCCCCTAAGTGCTCTAGTCATTAAAGATTCTCTCTTCACATACCTCTCCTGTTTTTTGGGATGCATTGCTGCTTCTGACCTCTTACCTGTATTCCCTCCTGTGCGGCCCAAGATCCTGCAGGGTTTGCGCTACACGTTCTCTGTGGACTGGTGGTCGTTTGGGGTGCTGCTGTATGAAATGCTGATTGGCCAGTCCCCTTTCCATGGGGATGATGAAGATGAACTGTTTGAGTCGATCCGAGTGGACACCCCTCACTACCCACGCTGGATTACCAAGGAATCAAAGGATATATTAGAAAAGGTAGGGCTGATGATCAGCTTGGGGTCATGTCTCTGTGCAGGGAGAGACAAATCTCCTAATAAAGGAGCTGTTTAGCAGCAGATTGCTCTTACAAAGAGAAAGCCAGGTCAGATTCCTAATGCTCTGTTTGCTGTCAGCACCCTTAGTTTTAGCATCAACCTGTAATTCTTCCACAGCTGTGCACCTTTGGAGCACTTCTAACGCTCTGCTGGGTGTCTTCTCTTGCAGCTCTTTGAAAGGGATCCAGCAAAACGACTTGGGGTCACTGGGAATATCAGAGACCATCCTTTCTTCAAAACAATTAACTGGACAGCGCTAGAGAAGAGGGAGGTGGACCCTCCCTTCAGGCCAAAAGTGGTATGTGGGATGTTCTTTCTTCTTAGCAAACAGCAGCCCAGGGTAAGGGGTGAATTCTGTGCCTGCACAAAGGATCCTACTGCCATTCTCTCCTCACATTTTACACATGAGAAAGTTGTCTATCTGTAAGCCCACTGTTCTTGGATGGTTCACTTCTGCACAGGTGCACTGTACTCCTTTGACTGCTCTGAGATCTTCCTGTGAAGACTGTCTTCCCAGTGCTCTCGAGGAGCTTCTTTAGGAATAGAATGTTCAGGAAAACCAACAGAAAGCTTTAATCTCCATTCCCCTCTGTGTCAGAATGTTCACAGTTCCTTGCAGTTTGCTTTTCTGAAATGTCACATGGGAGCAGCAGTAGCTCCAGGCTGCTCCCTGACTGCAGGGACTCTGCAAGCATTACATCTCTGCTGCTTCAAACTCACCCAGGCATCTCCAAGGGGGAAAGCAGCAGCATTCTCTAAGCCACTGAACTTGGAATTAATGTACATGCCTGATGTTACCTGAAAAAACACCTACACCACAGACTGTAACTCAGTCTGTATCACAGTGGATGCTGCTGCTTCAGCTCACCTGGTTAAAAATCCAAACCAGTGTTTCTCCAGCCTCTTATTTTCTTTCACAGGAGAGAATTCTTCCCTTGTCCCTCATGCTTTCAAAGCACAAGAAAGTACCATTTTGGATGAATTGTGTTGATGGATGATTATTTCCTTGAAAAGCCTCTGTATGTGCAGTTGGAGAGGTGTTTATCAGTGAATAAACTGTGTGCATCTAATTACAAAAACCACTTAAAGCACGTTTTTAAAATACTTCTTGCAGAGACCTAAAACTGGACAATGTGATGCTTGATAAAGAAGGCCACATCAAAATAGCTGATTTTGGAATGTGCAAAGAAAACGTTGTTGGTGACAACAAGGCGAGCACCTTCTGTGGGACCCCCGACTACATCGCTCCCGAGGTCAGTATGGCACACACAGACACTGCTGGCAGGGATTTAGTGCCCTGATGGAACAAGAGCTGCTGTGATTAATCACCTCTTTGTAGACTGATAGTTCAGAAAAGTCCAGTCTAATTAGAGGTAGAAAT